ACTGATTTCTTTGTCCAGTGCTTTTTGATCCTTGTTCCTTGCATGAGCTACATCAGAGCTTTCAAACAGCATTGGCTTTAGCTGCTTCTGTTGCTGTCATATTTCTGTGGATTTTCTTCTTCAGGTTAAGCAAGAAAGAACCTGATAGCTTCTGGAGACATTCCAATTAATCTGACCCTAAGGACAGTCACCAGTGGTCTTCCTAAAAAAAGTCCTGGTGTTTTTTGCTTCTTCCCATATTTCATCCTAGGTAGTCTTGCCGTTCAGAGAGGGCCTGACAATTTCCTGTAAGCACAGGGGTAAGACTTGAATGCTTCAACCTTGGATCAGACAGGTTCTACATCTGTGGCTTTCCTCTTGGTACCTGCTTGAACCCAAAGCTCTGCTGCAATATGTTGGTTCATCAGCTTGATCTCGAATATTTTTCTCTAGAGCCCACTGAAAATTCAAGGCTTCTGTTTGATTTATATTCTGTGAGATGGAGCTGTAATTGAAGAGCGCATGTGACATTGGTCACTTTTCCCTTCAGATCCAGAACAAAAACAATGAAGCAGCTGTATGCCTTCTAGTCCAAACTGATACCATTGCATGTCTCTGAAGCTGGATGATTCGTGACAGCAGATAACCCACATGCTTCAGGGAACAATATAAAATTATCTGTCTTCATTTAATAATTTTGATTATTTTGGTATTTCTTTTTCTTTCATGGGAAAGCAGAAATTACTGGGGCATTGCCCTGTGTGATCAGTGGTGACAAACTGCACATAAACCTTGCTGTTGAAACCAGGGCACACAGTGCTTTGTACAAACATCTGTCACAATTATGCGAAATCATTTGCTTTATTGGTTTTTTACCTTTGGCTGCCCAATAACACTGCGATGGCCATCTGAGATGGAGTTAAGAATATGAAAGAAAATACAAATGGAGCTTGTACACACATGCCTGAGGACTTAAGCTTGGTCCTAGTGTTACAAAGAGAAGATAATTTCCACCACCATAGCAGCTGAAGTGCACGACACAGGTCTTCCAGCTTCTCTGAAATAAAAGCAACTGATAAGATGCCGGAACAGAAACTCCTGAGAAGAATGCAGCAAAGCAGACAAGATGTTGACCTGTAAACAAGCAAACAGTTATCTTACTACTTCCTAAAACTTTGGAACATAATTTACAAATAAGGAAAATACTGTGCAAATGTCAAGTGTTCACAGCTGTATTCCTAATTTATTTAATGGAAATCAATTTCTGTTCCAAAAGATTAGGAAATGAGACAGTGTAAGAGTTTTTAAAGACATAAAAAATTTAGAAAGTTAGTGTTTGTTTTTTTTAAAAATGCAGCATATTCTGTAAAACACAGACCCAACAGAGGAAGAATGCTCATGACATTTCAGCTTTCTTGGTTTCTGCTCATACCTTAAACTGTTGAGCCAAGCTGTTGAATTGTCACTGCGTTAAAAAGTTGTCTTTCTCAAGATTTCTGTGAAAAAAGAATCTCATGGAAGAACGAAAAGAAAACCAAACAACCCAGACAGTAGGCTAGCTGTCCATTGCAGACAGATTTTGCTTTCCTGAGTCCTGTTCTGGAGAAGTCAGTGGTAAATTTTTCAAGGAATGGCATTCATCAGTTTTCTTGTAAGTCTCCTTTGCCCTGTATACCTACAGATGACCCTTTAGCAAAGCCACTGATATCCTAAATCTGTCTCCTCTCAAAAGAGTAGATATCAGGGCTGCTCTGCATCTCTCTACTTTTTTCTGCACATAAACCTTGCTGTGCATCTTCACCAAATCAGTTCATGTCACTTTGTGCTCTCTAGGGAGGATCTGTGATACTTTAGTTTTTGGATAGTATCTGGTATGCGCTGCAATAACAAAATGTTTGGAAGTATTCATGAGGCAGTTGTTTGAACAGAATAGTGCTGTTGAAAATTTAATGGTTTATTTGCATGGTGTTTATAAAATCCTGTATCCTCTTGGGCACTGCAGTATAAAGTTCAGAGACCTACACTGGGTAACAATCTGTTTGTTTCTTTTGTTTCTTTTCATTATAGTGCTACTATGAAACCTAAAGTGCCACCTCCTTTACCACCAAAGGTAAGTGAGGAGGATTTTGTTGCCCAGAATAAAAGGGCACTTCAAATAAATGAACAAATGCAGAGTGTCTAAATGGCTGTACCAATGGTTCTCTCACTTGAAGACTTGAAGAAGGTTTTAAGTCAAGGGTATATCCAGAAGATATACAGAAGACCTAGCCTTCAGTTGCAAATCTGCATGAAGTCTTACACTGTGGGATATTTGTCAGTGCTGTTTTTAATTAATTGCTCTTCTGATACTTTGGAAGGCATTAACTGGGTAGTTAAATTTAGTGTCACAAGTAATTTTTAATAGAGAGTCATCAAATAAAGCATCTGCTTGCTAATTTTGATGTCTGAATGGTGATCTTCAGAGGTGTGCCTGGATCAGATTAGGTTTTGCACACTGCCACTTGAAGAGCAAGTGAATCTTTTAACACTGAAGTTATCTTAATATGAGCAAAAATAAAAATTAGAAGAAAAAGCTTAGATTTCTTTGTCTGGCTGTCAGTTCTCTAGGCAAAAATTGCAGGTTTGATTACTTACAATCCTGCACTATCTTTGCATATCTGAGAAGGGTTTTACAAGCAGCATTAGTGTAGCCAGTGTCTAAACAATGTTGCCCTTTGTAGTAACATCCCTTATTTCGGATTCTTTACACAATTCCTGGCCATATCCTTGAGTGATCCCCAGTTGCTGCTTAAATGTCTAGTTTGGTTATCTGTAGTCACTAACAGTGACATTTCCACATGCCCAATAATTGTTTCATGTATGACTTGGTTATAATGATTTTTAATTTGTCCTTTGTCGATAACAACATTTTCCTTATTGCTATGCATTTCCTTTAGTTTGTTTTTTGAGAGAAATTTGCCTGGCAGAACATATTGCTTTATCAACTTACTTGTGAACATTCCAGGATCCAAATATTGCACGTAGGTTTGTTTTTCTCATTGAGAAGTAGCATGGATGCTTTGAATATTCTTTCATTATGTTTTTATTATTGCTATGTCTTTTTCAGCCTAAATCCATCTTTATCCCCCAAGAAACTCATTCTTCTGAAAATGATAATCAAGGGACTATCAAGAGATGCCCAACATCAGAGAGTCCAGCAAAATCTGCATCTCAGGTTCCACCCAGGCCACCACCTCCTCGGTTACCTCCACAGAAATCTAATGCTTTAGGTAGTAAGAGTGACATGAAGAAATATACAAGTATTTATTAAATAATCTAACATGATTTTATTTCTACGTCCTCACCTAAGCACACATTAAAACATACTGTGGTAATTTTTCTGTGGTGGGCAAGTAACAGAAAGTGCATGAAAGCCAAAATGCATGAAGAAAGCATGCTTAAACTCTTAGAATGGTCAAATGTACCTTGCAGTAAAGTCACTGACATGATTCCGGCTGATGCCATTGATGACACTATTGCTGTTCTAAGCAGCAGGCTTATAGTGTATCAGGATTTTCACTGGCAGTAAAAAAGTTTTCCTGTATGTAGGTTTCAGATTTTGGCCCTGTGTGTCAACTGTTGTTGTCATTTGACATGTCAAGAATAGAGTTTTGCTTTCGAAGTTTGCTTTTATATCTAATGAACTGGGTTGGGTAGTATAGCAGGTAATTGTATTAGTTTACTCTTTGCTCAGGCTGTTCCTTTTATCCTTTTGTTGAAGTCTGATGCTTTGAGAGTTGTCCTGGACTGGCTTGTTTTAAGCAAGCTGAACCTCTGACTCCTAATTAATACCTTGCTAGCTCTTCCTTGATACATATTTAGTACTGCAGTTGCTGTGTTATGGATTTGACTGTAACACTTAAGCATCCAGTGCTAAACGCCTCAAGGCTATTTAAAAGAATCAATAACTGAAGCCTTAACTATAGCAAAGTTTTTCTTTAGGTGTGTTAAATACATTTTTCCTCATAAATGTGACTGCATCCCTTTCTATGTCCGCATTAGATTTGTTACATTAATTACCAAAAGGCATGGACTGAGATTGAATGTGGCTCTGTAGATCGTTAGATGTACACAGGTAGGATCATGTATGCTTTAGAAATAAATTAGAGTATTGGAACATGTTCTGACATAAGTGGAAATTTTGGCCCTTCAAAATGGTTTTTAGACTATATTACTCTTAAGTTGAAGGTAGAAGAACATATTTTTAAATATGAATCTGTCTAGGTAATGGAGTCACTTCTGTACAATTAAACGGTGAAAGAGAGGGATCACCGCATCAACAGAATGAAGCTAGAGACACTAATTTTTCAAGGAAAGAAAAGAAGGAAATACTGGTAGGTATTGAAGCTTCTAGGTGTTATTTTAAAGTTGGCTAAACTGTTTTACATGTGCAATGAAAAGAAGTGGGCACACTCTTTAGTACAGAAATTTTATGCTGGTTGGCATCTTGTTTACTTTGAATCAAAGCAGAGTTTAGCTAGATTGTCGTGATACAGTCTTAAGCTGAAGCTTGAGTTGGCATTTAATTTTCATTAGAAACTGACATAGTCATGGATATAAAAGATTTACTTGCTTGTATTTGCATACATGACACTGAGAGACATGTAATGAGAGCAAGATCCTGCAAGAGAGGTGTAATGTGTTGTACTGAGCAATGTCCACTTACTCAAATGAGGAAATTAAGGAATATGCTGCCACCTGATGGCTTTCTGGGGGATTTGGCTGGCCCTGGGAAAGGAGCTGAATCAGGGCTGTTCCCAAATGAGTCGTCCATCTGTCGCAGATGTAGGCATACAGGCTTTTTGGTGTTCAGGAAGGAAAAAGATGGAGAAATATAGATTGAGGGTCCAGGTATGCAAGCTGTTTGCCTGCTGGCCTCTGGAGCTCCGGGTTTCAGGGTTTAGCAGCTTGGGTTTGTTGTCAGACTTGAGCTACATATACTCTTGTGAAGTTGCACTCATAGAGAGAATGCAGTTGTACACCACGTATAATCTGATCCAGCTGTGAGCTGCTGAGGAAAGGGAATATTCCTGCATCCCTTCCTTTTCTCGTCTTCCGAGTGAGATTTTCCTTCAAACTGGCAAATGTCTTCCAGAGTGGTCACTGTTATTATGATGCAAAAGTGGGAATGTGAGATAGGAGAGAGTGGAACATTTGTCGTTAGATCACATTAAAAGTAACATGAAGCGGCACTCTTTGGGGACTGCTTCTAAGGATGAGGTTGGAAATGTTGCTTTTTTGAGAGAAGTGAATAGGAAATAGAGCAGAAACATTGTGTGCGTTTTTGTTCTGTTTTAAGGAAGTGCCAGTAATACCAGCAGTGCTTTGGAAAGTATGATTTCCTGAACTGCTTTGAACTGGGCATTTGAAATTCTGTGTTTGGATTTTCCTGTTACCTGTAAAACACCTTTCTTCAGAAGCATGTTTTTACTAGGAGAAATTGATACTGACACAGGAAGGTGGGTCTGGTACTGATTGATAGCATTGAGCTCTGCTTATAATATTGAACAATTGAGCAATTGCTGCAACATTAAACTTTGTATTGCTGGATATGGCATTCTTTCAGGCATCATCGTAATGTTAAAATGTTGTGCAATAGACTGTGCAGACAGTGAGCGAGGATGTATTAGGGAATCCTAGTAGAGGTTCTGATGTAAGAAAAGCAGGTTGGTAGTTTGTGGTGTGTGGTTGCTGGAGACACGTGGTTAGCAAACTCGTACAGAATTACGGGAGTGTTGGTTGGAAGGGTGGTCTCTAGCCTAACCTCATACTTAACAACAGGAATGTAGCCAAAGCTTAGCCATGGCTTTCAGATCTAGTACATGTGGCATTGGACACGGTGGAGTGTCCCTGTAGATTCCTGGTACCTTCTATTTAGCATTGTGTAGAAATACACAACACAGCTATTTATTGTCTTAAAAAATCTGCAGGGAGGGGTTTGGGTCTGTTTCGTATGTAGATATAAGCATTGGCTTTTTATTTTCTCCTAATATAATTATGCTTAGTTATTTATCAAGTGCTTTTAACAGCATTCTAAAAATTTTTTTTAGACCTGTATTTCGGTTGTGCTGTAGTGTGGGGATAGAATATTCATGTTCATGCATATGTGCACATGTGAGTGTAAACATACCTTTTAACTTTTATTTTCTAGAAACCAGTTAGTAATGGTCTTCCTCCCACACCTAAAGTACACGTGAGTATTAGTCATATAAGTGCATGTTGGAAGCAGGACGTGTTTTTCTTACTTAAGCTGAGAGAGTTCATTTTTTTTGAATGGTTTATAGTATTTTTAATTATAAAAGCCAGTCTCTCTTAACATTTCTAAGCCACAGGTATGGTATTTCAGAAATCAACCTTGATTTTGTGCCCTGGAAGTAAATTTTGGGAGGTTTTTTGTTTGCTTGTTTCATTAAAAAGTGAGAGTTCTGTGACTAATGTCACAGAAGTACTTTTAGTGTACTGAAGGTACTTACTGATTTGAAAAGCTGATGCCTCTCAGGAATTTCAAATAGCTCGAAGCTTATACTATGCAGCTCTAGGTTTCAAAACTTCTGAAGACAGGATTCATAGATGCCTTAGGGCTGGAAATAACTTTACAGACATCTATGTGCACCTTCATAACGTAAAGCAAACTAGAATTTCATTGTGATAGCTCTGCGAATTTGTCACTGTGCTTTTCACCAGCACTGTGATCAGAAGAGCTAGTATTTCCTTCTTCACCATGTGTTTATGCCCTCGCTGCTCTCCTTTTTGTGTGCTAGAGCATGCGTTCGTGTAGTTGTGCTGTGCAGCAAATGGGGGATGCATCTGATTTTAAATGAACCTTTTTCCTGTGTTACTCCTAAGCCAGATCAGTTTCTCATCTTCAAATAGGAAGATAAAATTGCTACAAGGATGTGTAATTGCAAATGATACTGTTTCTTGCTTCCTACTCGTTTTAGGGAGGCAGGACAGCTTAAGATAGATGTCGTGTTTCTCTTCCTTAGAACTGTAATCTCTTGGATAAATGCACAGGATTGTTCAGAGCTCTGAATTCTTGATAAGTTTAGCATCATATATTGAGGTCAATCCTGGGGTTTAATAAACTAAATGTTAAATTAAACGCATAGCCTAGGAGCGCTTACTTTAAATTAGTGGATGACAGAAATTTGTAAGCACTCCTAGCATTTAGAACAACTGAATCATCTTGGGGAGGGGGAAATAAGATCGATTCAGTGACTGGAATGAGAAAAAGAGTAGAAAATAGAGTAGCTCAAAATGAAGTCATATGTGTTGAACTTCTGCCACAGACTTCAGGGACAGGCCATCAGAGAATGACTGTGAGTTGCTAATATAATGAAGCTGTAAAAAGAGACTGACTAAAATAGGAAGAACTTTGAAGCTGATCAAATGAGTCTTTGAGTATTGGATTGCTCTCTGCATGTTCACACATCTTTGTGGTACGCTAATTCTCTGGTTATGCTGATCCTCAGGTTAGAAACTCGTGCCCCTCTCTTCCTCTTCCCTCATCACACTCCACATTTTATGTATAACAAATGTTCTAACCTTCCTTTTAAGTGTTGAAGACTGATTTGCCACTTAATGTGTATCTGCTGTCTCCATCAGTTGCCAAATAATGAAAATTTGGATAAGGAAGGGGTTTTTCTCCCAGGTCATTGGGATTACTGGACTTCTTACTTTTGTCTGTTGTGGAGCATGTTTTGTATCCTAATATCACCTGGGAGTCTTACCTAACAAATACCCTGCTACTGCAAGTAAAGCTTTGACAATCTTTCAGTCTCTTCTGTTCTCTTTCAGCCGTACATTGTTCTAATTCTTGTTTGTTTTGGTTTTTTTTTTTTTGATTTGTGGTTCTTAAGTATGTTGCCAAATGGCAAGAAGTGTTTTGCGTTCTTGCTATCCTGTAAAATGGTTAGATGTTCTGGTGCTCTTTAAAATGGTATCTGTGCATGGTTGCCTGGGACTCTAGAGACTTTGTGCAACTTTCTTAATAACCCAGCCTGGTGATGTTTTCCCCTGCTATTTTAAGTGGCTTGCAGCAAAGGGAGACCTGTTAGATCCTGCCAGTGAGGGAATGCCCTGCCTGCTGAAATTCCCCCGAGGCTTAAATGCCTCCATGGCAGCAGTCTGAAGATCAAGCAGCCATGCTTCAACCTT